GATGTTGGGGTGAGATTGCACCCGGAAAATCCGCGGGACTCCCGTGCCTCTCCCGTGGCAACTTTGCCATGTGACCGGGGCCTATATTTAGCTTCCCATGTGTGAAAGAGGCCGTACACACCTTGGTCCGGGCTCCCTTCTCACACAGAGAATCCTAGTTACAAACAAACTCCAGTTGCCTGGAATATGGATGCTAGTACACTGTGTGTGCCCATTGATGGAAGGCTTTATTATGTAAGAACATGTTCAACATATAAGATATTAGTGTTGTAAAATAGTCAAAAGTGTTTAATACTAAGATTATCAATGGATCTTGCTCTATTGGAAAGAAGAGATTTCTTTGCTTTTAAAAACCTTAATTTCTAAGGGTAAAAGGTACACAGGATAACTACAAATAAACATATCACTAACAGTTACATTTTCTAAGCTGTCTATAGTCAAACACTAACACACAGACAATGGAGAATCTGTCCATCTTCTCGACCCCTAGAAAGGAAGTCACCTGAAAATAAACAACCAATCTGTATCACAGTAGAAGCTACTTTTCCCGGACTAATTCCCCATTGGCTCAATGCCAGGTATCCCTTCCAGGTCAGTCTAAACAATAGCAATACTAGGCAAACAAGTTAACCCTATAATGACTGGATTGTCAGACCTTGTAAACACATGCATTTCCAACAATTAGTACCTTTGTATTGGATTTACACATTATGGAATGAGAAGCAACACTATCACATCTTGATGTTTGGAAGAAGGTCTTCACGAAATGAATGCCAAAACTCCGGAGTTCGTCCATTTTTTTGATACTTGTTGGGAATTAATAATTTTCAATTTGACTGTTCATTTTTGTATTATTATTGTGCGATTATAAGCGTTTTGTACATCATTACAGCTTCCATATTTTTGGGTCTCTTCACTAGCTGTAATCCCTCAGTTTTGTTGGTTCTCTGGAGTATGGATGCAGTCATGTGGTTTAACCAGTGCTAGGATTCTAAACTGGAGGAGGGGGACTAATTAACCCACACATCATGGGCAACTGAAGCTCGTTTCCAATCAGGATTCTCCAAGAAAGAAGGGAAGAGAGGAGAGGGGACACACTATGGATACCATTTTCCAGGGTGGGACCCGGGCATCCCCTGGAATCACAGTTCATCTCCAAACTGCAGAGATCAGTTCCCCTGGAGAAAGTGGATGCTCTGGAAAATAGACTCTCTGGCATTGTACCCTACTGAGGTCCCTGTCCTCCGGCAAAGAAGCGGAGCAGAGCAGCAAACGGGGTTGTGTTTTTTTAAAAAAACTGAAATGTGTGCATGCTCTGTAGGGTGCTTGTGCGCATCCGTGGAGACTTGGGGAAAAAAACCTTTTTGCGAGGGGACATGGGCGGGCGCCGGAACTACCACCGGAAACACGATCAGACGCCTGCCCTTGCCCCGCAGTTTCCGGAAACTAGCACCTCCAAGGTACTAGTTTTTTACCCCGCATCTTCGGCGGGAAGCCTCGGGTGCGCCACGGGAGCGCTACGCTTCCCAGATGTGGCGGTGAGATCGCGCCCGGAAAATCCGCCTATCTTCCGTCTCTCTAGCATGCCTAATGCTCCGTGTGACCTGGGCCAACATTCAGCCCTGCTTCCTCTTTGGAGTTGTTGTCCCTTCCCTCTCCTACAGTGCCCCCACCCTGAAAGCTCACTTGCCTACCCACTCTCACAGTGGTCCTTTCCGCACATGGATCTCATCCCTGGTCTAATCAGAGTTTTATCACGACACAATACCTTGTATTTATCCCTAGTACCAGCATCTGTTTATCCTGGGACAAATGTGGGGCAAAACCGGGGTGTAATGTGGAAACAATGTAATGCGGAAACAAAAAAATACCCCAAGATAATTAACAGGGATGAACTCGAGTGTAGTGTAGAATGTAAAAATACCCCGAGATAATATACAGGGATGAACTCGCATGTAGTGTAGAATGTAAGTTCAGTGACAGGGTTGAACCAGGATTTAAGGTCTAGTGCAGAAAGGACCAGGGTTTCATTTCCTGTCCTCTCTTGTATACTACATCTTATAGCCTGACCCTTACTTTCAATGGCTCCATGATTCTCCCAGTACGATTTCCCTCAGACCTCTCCTTTCCTCAGGGGTCTGCTAAACTTCCTTGCCCACTACAATCGTCTACCAGTCCTTTTGCTTCTGCGCCCTCTTCCCACAACTTTCTAGTTCTAACCTTGTTTACCAGGCTTTTCACCTGTCAACAGCATACAGTCTACTTTGTACGCGGGGCTCAAAATAAAACACTGACCAAGAGTACTAATTTCAGCAAATATATATAATAAAGAGAGGAAAAAACTTTACATCTGTACCTCAAGATTAAAAAAAAAAGAACAGGCATCACATATGGTAAAACTCAGTGCTAATTTCTGATCAGGAAGAGAAATAAACTTCCCCAAAAGGAAACCTGAGCTTCTGGAAAAAATGTGGAGTACCAATAATGATTTTTGCGTTCTTTGATATTAGGTTGTATTCTGGGCTATTTTTGGGCAGGAACGCACAGGAACAGAGTTCCGGCTGGCTTCCAAGTTGGCCACACTTGCGGCTGCAGAGTGTTTTCCATGACTCCGCCGTGCCCTCCTCCTCCTCCTCTTCCCTCCTTCCTCCTCCTCCTCCTCCGCTGCTGACTAACTCTCCTCCTGGGCACTCTCCCCAGCCGAAACAGGTCACACATGCGCAGCACCAGCCCCAGGCGGGGCGGCGGCGAGGAAGGGGAGTTCGTCAACGGGCAGCCGGCGGCGGGCCTGACTCACGTGTCAAAAAATAAAATAAGAGGGAGGAGAGGCGGGAGGGGGCGACGCACGTGCAAGGATTTCTGCTCCGCCTCCCCTGCGGGAGCCGGCAGCACTAGGATCCTCCCCAGGAGACTGCCTGCCCAGCCTTGCTTGCCTGCGCTCTTCACCCCCCTCATTCCTTCCCGGCTCCATTTGCCCTGTCAAATGAGGACCGCACTGTTCTCCTCTCCTTCATCTTATCCTCACCACAACCCTGTGAGGTAATTTAGGTGTGTGTGTGGGAATTAGGCCGAGACTGTCCATGGCAGAGCAGAGAATCAAACTTCAGTCTCCCAGGTCCTAGTTCAAAGCTCCAACCACTATACCACACTATAGTTCTGCTATTTTACATGAATTAGAATCTTCATTAGGCTAATCCTTTAGCATAAAATAAACACAGTAAAGCCAACATAATCGCTCCTGCAAAAGATTTCGGATAAACTAAAAGCACAGCATCTATCATAATAACTCTTGATTCATCTACGAT